TATATAGAAATGCGCTTTATACTGATCAAGTATATGAAGATTATATATAATATATAGAAATATACATAACTATATATTAAATGTCATAAATATTATAAGTTATTATGAACACTTTTTATGGGATTTATATACATAAATAGTATCGACTCTGTGTGTAATTAATTACATTGGTTTATTGTTTCAAAGACAGTTTATTTGTTGCTCTATTATATCTTTCCAATCAAAGTTCTACTGTTTTTTTATGACACGTATACCAATATAAATATAAGTTCAATATTTAAATAAACAAATGAAGACATTATCCTTCCTATGCGCCGGCGGGTAGAGGGTAGCGGGTAGCGGGTAGCGGGAGCGGGAGCAGGCAGCGTATCATGTTCCTATTATTTATTTTTTCGGTTCAGAGCGTCGAGGATCACTGCAAACATTAAATATATCCTGACATTGAATCCATATTGCTATTTGAAAAACCCTTTCTGACTTTGATATTGGCGGAAAATATGAAGTCCTTTGTCTTGATGGAGCTTATAAAGGTTGTACACACGAAGCTGTTCATACAAATATTATATAAAGAATAAATTACAAATGAGAGTCAATATTTAAGAGAGACATGATTCTCGTATTTGTAATGCTACTACTGGTAATGTATTGATATAGTTTTTCTGGTTGTAAATAGTACACACGATGCTCGGTCTATTTCCTTCTTAACTTTAGTTCTGGAACTTTCTAAGTCGGAACACTCAGAGGCAACTTGAGGGAGTCAATATTCCGAGTTCAGTTCTCTTTCCGCTTGTAACTTACATAAATAAAGCTGATTCAGACAGTTAGTTACCAATTTTAATATCCAACAGTTTTTGTATAGATTAAAATATGTTTAGACTCCTTACTTCTCATATATTAATTAAAAGAGTATCGAATAAGTTAATATATAAATGTTATTAAATGTTATCGCCTGGTAGTCGATCGCCTCCATTCAAACAACACTTTCATAAGGTGTCAGAATCCCATAAGCATTGTGTGGGGCGACTCCGCAAATATCCAATATTGACCGAATGCAGCCTCCGGCGTCACTGGAGAGGGGAAGTTCCTCTCGCTGCTACTACGTGTACCGACTGCAGTTACCTCCACACTTATATATTGAATTTGATCCGACTGTTATATGAATTTGAGTCTACATTTATCAATATACTAGTTCTTGGCCGCGACTTCGTCAGCGATAATTTCGCAATTCGTAATATATGTATAGCTGAGCGGACGAACTTTATTTTGCTCCCAAGGCCATAAATAAGCAGATATTCTAATTAATTAAGCAGATATTCTAATTAATTTAGCAGATATTCTATTTAATTCTTTTTCAATAGAACAGAATCAACTGTTCTATGTCCGTCTCCTGGTTTTAGTCTATTATTCCCCAGCAATTTCAACTATATCTCTACAGTCGTTGTTAAGTAATAAATAATTTAACTAACACAACTTTTTTTACATATAGGTATGGATAAATAAATTTGCTGTTCAATCAAAATATATTCTTTATAATTTATTACAATTCTAATACTAACAGTATAAAATTATTAGTTTTTAAAATATTAACAAATATACGAATTTTACAAAATAATACGTGTTGAAGTAATATCTCCATCATAAATGATTGGTGATCTTATTGGACAGAGTGTGTCTACAGTGTCGATGTAAGGAGCGGACGGAGACTCACCCCGTTATAAAGATCATTTCATTTTACAACACTCTTTATAACTTCACGCCGCTAGAATATAACTTATAACCAACTGGAAACTGTGACTCAATTCTTACACTTTTATGGATAAACTATTGGCTTTATGAAGAGAGTACAAATATTTTTCATAATTTTATATCACGTTTCTTATATAACATCGAATTGTTATTAAGTTTGTGTTAATAAATATGATTGGTAACATTAAATTTTAATGTTTTCTTTATGATAATGTTATAAGTAGAACCTAATTGAATTTCGTATATTTTCTATACTGAAGCGTTTAGTAAGTATTTCAAGCTTACGAATAGGTTCATAATCTTCATGGAATATTTGAAACTCGTCTTCTGGAGAGTGTTTGCGAACGGAGTCATAAGCGAGCCCTCATAATTTACAACGAACCGCTACTAAATCAGTGAAATGCTGAATACGGGTTCGTTTATCACGCGGCTCGGGCCACCGGCGACCCCGACTACTGAGACCCGACGTTAAAAGGGTTAAGTGTAAAGTTAATTACATAACAGAAGCGGGGGTCACGCGGACCCGCTATTAGCTCGGTAAATCATAACGGATAGAAAGAGACAGATGACTCGACTGTGGCGGTTAAGTATTGTTGATGACACGTTGAATCAGAACACTACAATAGACATACAAACAAACTTATTATCGAAGCAATAAAATCATATTACATCGAAAAAAATTATGAAAATCGATATTTTGTCAATACCGGTGAATGAAACGCATCAAAGTTCCCAGTGACGTATGTCGGCGGTACGGTCAGGAGGCTGTAATTAGACTATGAATAACACTGAAGGGTGCTCGCCTCCAGCGGCTACAGAATACAGTTTTATAGCTAACATGATTTAGGTAATGAGAGCCATCGGATGGCAGGTCTCCTAGTGGAACAGTTCGCTTACTTAATTATTAAATTTATTGAGCCCAGTTTCTGTTGAAGCTCTAACATTCAGTCGGCTGTACCGAGCCGAAAATACCGGGTCCTTGGAAAATCGGTATTTCCGTTTCACGACCTTCTTTTTTCGTCGACGGTATGGTAATGATCGTCCGCCGGTATGTAAAAAAAAAAATTAACGCTCCTCTATATGACTTGCCGTACAAAGAACCTACGATTGGTGCAATTAAAGATAGGTTGGATGCATTAGGTGCATTCTAGCGGAATGTTCGGTGGGAGGTTGCGAGGAGGGACGGGGGGTAGCGGGGGGGCAGCGGAGGAGGGAGGGGGGAGAGCTAACTCACTTATGCACAGACCGGTGCCTGTTCTGATTCAATTTGTACCGTTTTATTGAGTGTAAATTGGTTAAGTCTTTGCAGGACTGTTCTTGCTACTATCGATATTTGCGCGGGCGGAAAATGTAGTCTCTGTGAAAGCGTTCAGATTGTACTCACTCTGAGTTTCAGGCTCTTAAGAGAGACTCGACTGAAATTAAATATAGTAATTACTTTAAGTAAGGTTCACAGAGTAAACTTTTTCCAATTAAGTCTTCACAAAACATCCGATATTCACTATAGGTGACGTTCCCTAAAACTAGCTTCACTTTTGGGTAGTGTGGGATAGGGTCCCTCCCTTTTAATGTCAGCCTTCTCTGACACTCAATAAACAGACCTACTAATAGTCGCTGTCACAAACAATTTTACGTATTATATTTAATGACACGTTACGTGACTACAGAGTTCATAGTGTTCCTTGTCTAATGATGATGTATCATGTTCCTCTGACTGAATAAATAACTTGATGTGCTTCTTAATGAGTATAAATGGAAATGTCATATTATAACCACAAGACAACTATATGATATGTATACGTGGTTAGAGAATTACTATTGAAGACTGAGCATTCAAATTAATATAAATTACAGTTTGTTTGTACAGATTATGTGTTAGTTTGAAAGAAAAATGTGTATTAACATGGAGCAAGCTGCGAGCACTATAATATCAATCGCATAATAAGTGCTCTGAAACAAATATGATTGCCAAAGGCCCGCGACTTTCAGACGCTTTTCAAGTATTCAGCAAGAGATGCAAAGATTTCCCGACTCAAGCTCAATTGAGAATTTAGGTGAAGTTTGTTCACTAACTTCGCCTCTCGACTCCCACTGAGCTGACAACTCTTTGAATACCTGCGTTTTGCAAATGGAATTTTAAGTCTGAATAATATTATTTCCTGTTCCTGGAGAATTCGTTCAGAAAAATGCATAATATTTTACTGCTCCTGAGATCTCATTTGCATTTATATAAAAAATAATTTGAAATACATCCGGGATGAATGATACCAATTATACATAATTTTGTCCATTGTGTTGTGTGAGAAGCGTAGACAGTTTAGTATATTTGACGTGAGGTGTAATTAAAACCTTGGTCCTGAACTAGTTCTAATCTGTCTTCACATGAAAAGAAATTAAAGCGGTTATTAAGAACCCAGTTAGAAGTAATGAATGAGACTTCATAAGTCAGCTTAAAACAAGTTTATGAAGAGCAACATGAAACAAGCTGATGAAGTATTTAATATAGCATTTGAATCACCTTTTGTAGCATTTGGAAATGTTTCTTACAGATAGAGGCAGACACAAAAGAAAACATTGTTAATAGAACATACCTTTTATTTATTTATCATTCGTGTTTATGATATCATAAAACTATAAATAGTCGTACACGAGTGCGGCATGTTCATTAATTTTATGGACAATATTTTACAAGCTTTAATTTTTTTATTATGTTGCTCGTACACTTATTCATAAATAATAATCAGAAAGACGATTATCTCACAAGTATCATCATGATTTATGTGATCAGTGTTGTGTGTAATGAAGAAAATTTAAGGTCGACCCGAAATATAAACGTTATGTATAATATATGTATGAGTATATTACATTATATAGAAGGATCCTCGATCAAACACTCCGATTCGTTTCGTCCATAACCAAGTTTTCACATTTCATTTGCTGCAGAAATTTGTTTCATTAAATTGCAGAGAAGTCGAAGTAAATGTTTGTTTAAAACATGAAGAACTCAATGCATCGGAAGAAACCGGTGGCGCAGTTTGTTCTGTACACTTAATTGAATATTACTTCGGAGACTTTTTCCAATATTTGATTTAATTTTAACATTTCACACTCCATGTATTCCTTCGAACGATTTTAACGAGAGAATGAATAACTTATTTCTTAATATTTAATATCGTAAGAGTTTTAAACGAGCTGCACTTCGATAATGAATATTAGAAGTACATTTCCATTCCAGAGCAGTATGTACGTGACCGATGATAAGTTTCCGTGTGCGTAAATCCAATTTTGATGTCCAAATACATATCGATGTAAATAGTGACGGAGGAGCGAGGTGCATGGCAGGAGACACCCTCGTTCAATCGAAACGGTCTCCAAATGGAATTAGAGTCGGCGTGCGGCCGGCGGCGATCCCGCGGGATTCACCCACGCCCGGGATGTGCGCCGGGATAGCCGGTGATTGCTTTACTGTTTACACTACCGCGATTCCAGATAGAATTGAACTGGCGTGTAAGCGGGTTTAGAATCAAAAAGGGTATAGAAAGTCTCTTTTAATGCTATACTGAATATCGCTCTGTGGACGCCGCGTTCAATGCGGACAGATTAAATCCTCACCGGTTAGCTTTCAGCCCGACGTCCTTCAATATGCCAATCAAATTAACCGAAGCTTTTTTTTTTCAAATTCCATACACTTGTTTCCGTTTCTTTTACACTGTCAAGCAAATTTTTAAGGATTGTTGTTGAAGTAATATGAATAAATTCTCATACTCATTACAATGACGGATATAATTTTATTTTCGTTATCATATAGCTACGTCCTACAATCTACATAAGTCCGTCAGGGCGTCACCCGCGGGCTCGATCAATCAGCCAAGATCCGTCTTTGAGCGTATTATTCCGCCCCAGGTCTTTCCTAATCAACCGATTTGTTACTTCCTTCTATATTCAGCGCCAGGGTACAAGAAAATTCTCATTTTTCTTTAGTTTCACCTTTACACCTCGCCTTTTAGTTAGTTATCGATCGTGCGAGGGAAAGCTTTTATATCTTTAACTATAACATATCATATTATTATTAAATTTGTTTGTAATATTAAATACAAACTAGTCTCGTGTTACAGTTAATGTAATCTCCCGTTGTTTTGTCACTAAATTATATTGTAAAAGATTTTTTCTCGTCTATGCGCGGCGCGAACAGGAGGGTCCAATTCAAACACGCGAAATAAAAACCTCCAACACAATGAAACTCATTCTGTAATGTTTCAGTTTCCCCGCGAGGGGGCGCCCGTGTCCTTATTGTGTTACCTGCAGTTTGACTCACTAACTGTCTATCACACTATGACGTGCTCATTATTATGTGTTGGCATTTCAACACATTATTATTATAGTGATGGCTGGTTCACAAATAAACTTTATTTATGTTGACTAACAGTCTTTCGCTTCACATAATATACTTTGTTCTAGATTCCTATACAAGTATATGTCGTAAAACAAGAGTAAAGAGTAGTATTAATATAAAACTCTGTTAAAATATAGCGAATAGAAGAAATATCGATATTTTAAAGATGTTATAGCATAATAAAGCGTATGATATGGAGACATTAACTAGCGAATAATGTGTTTAATTTACAACATCGCGACACGGAACATGACGCGTCGTAAAGGGATTATTTTTATATGATCAGAACATTTTATAGTTTTAGAACGAGTTGAGAACAAACTAATATATAATGAGCAGGCCTTGACCCCAGCGAGTGTGGTCGTGTACATACATATGTACCCTTCTAAATATATCTATCTATCTTGAATGTATTGTCGGCAACGGATTTATTGATATCAAACAGTACGTGTCACAGCGTGTTTTCGTTACAAGTAATCACTTTTATTAACATTATACAATATAATGTGCATGTTTTCTATATGAATGTAGTTTGAAGTGCACAAATCCAGGCTGGAACCCGATCCGAAGACAATCAAGGAGATAAACAAGGGCTGCGGCGCTTCCCACCGCGCGATATGTACTGTCAACAAAATCGGATCCTACTCCTAGCTCCCAGCAGATGTGATCGCTCGCACGGGATTAGAGCCGTGTTCAGCATTACGAGCTCAATTATACATACAGTGTGCCACTCGTGGTGCCTCATAATTGGCTTATATTTTTAAATATACTGACGTTATTACATGCCTCCTAAGTGAAGCTTAAGCGGGGAATGCGTGGTCTCCGGTATACGCTCCCTCGGGATTTAATACAGCCTCGTCATATACCTCGGTATAACAACACAAATAGTTCGTCTTTACCTCTTTGATAGTATCTGGTATGCCGACTGCCTCCTCTCCCCATGTTTTACTATCAAACCCCTTTTTCTTCAATGATAGAATATAATTTTTATATAATTTTGCTCACTTCATCAAAGGCCTTATCGGACCTTCTTCTAGAGAAACGTTACTGATATTTACATTAAAAACAAAGTGTCATAGACTTAATATATAAAAATGTTTATTCGCCGATCAGTATTTATTCCATAATGTATAAGCAGCCAAGGTTCAGTGACAAAATGTTTGGTTGCCACGCGGTTGGATCAATTTTAATTCCCGGGCAATGCACTTTTTGTAAAGTTTTTAATAATTTGACCTTTTAGACTACACTGCATACAAATAACATGTTAAACTTACTTTTCTTAAGTATTCAAAATTATTTAAGGGATTGTTATCATATATTGATTTACTTAAGTAGTAAATTAAAAAAATCATGTTACATAAATCGATAACGTTATTCACAAATAATAATTGGATAACTTTATATATTTTTTATTTACAAAATGGAATGTCATAAGTGTGATAAAACTACAAATTCGAACGATCTACTTAAGTGTGCGGCATGCTCGAACTCATATCATTTTTATTGCGCGGGTATGCAGGAAGTGGATTTCAGAAAGATACTCCCAATGAACAGACTCAAATGGAAGTGCTTAATCTGTAGGCGAAATAGATATAAAAAGACTGCAGCCTCGCCCACACCCAGTGCAGAGGACATTTCATCTCCGACAAGGATCGATACTGATACTTTAATTGCGTATATTGATTCCAAATTTAAGGAGCTTCGGAACGAACGGGAAGCTGACATATTAAACTTGAAAAATTATCTTAATGAAAAAATCGACAAACTTTCACAATCTGTCCTGGCATGGACATCCAAGTGTGAAATGTTAGAGACGCATATATCTGAGCTTTCAGTTACCGCTACAAACTTAACTGAGGAGAATTTAAAACTAAAGGAACAGCTGCAGAGCCTGCAGGACAACTTTCATGAGAATGAGCAGAAATCCCGACTCTGCAATGTTGAGATACAGAATGTTCCTGAACGGAAAAACGAAAACCTATTGCAACTAGTCTCAAATCTGGGAACCTTACTCGGCGTTGTTATTCCCGCTGAATCCATTAAAGCAGTACACCGCGTTGCTCATAATACGCATACAGACAGACCTAAAAATATCATATTACAACTTAATACGAAGCATTTGAGGGATGACGTCATCGCTGCATCCCGTGCTCGGCGTGGCTTAACAGCGGGTCAACTCATAGCTGCGGGTGGACCAAGCAACGCTTCTTCGAGGTCAGGCAGTGACGTAACACAATCAGATCGCATCGTCTACATAAGAGAGCATCTCACCTTACGCAATAAAATATTATTCTCCAAAACAAGATCTATAGCTCGCGATAAATACAGATATGTGTGGACTAAAAATGCTATCATACAAGTGCGTAAAAATGACAATTCACCTGTTATGTACATCCGTTCCGAGAAAGACCTCAGTAAGTTGTGATGGTTTTATATATATTTAATTATATGTCACTTCCTTTTCGTCTGGCATGCTTATGTATACATTCTACGTCGGCTCATTCACTTATTAAATATGTTATCAATCATGGAGTATATAAATAAATTTAGAAAACTTATCATATTCATCGGTGTGTTAAATAAAAAGCAATATACCGCTGGAATGTATACATACATTGTTAATTCGAAGAACTTATTTCACCTTTGTTCTTTATCCGCGTTCCTAACATTAGCACTGCTCGATTTTTATTGTTGCTACTTACTATTAAGAGTTCAATATAAAAATAACTTTTTACACATAAGAGAAATATATTTCAACACTTGTATTGTTACCAAACAATCCTGTCTACTGCTACTCTTACATAATAATTTTGTTTATGTTTGTGTTTATGGTATGTGTTTCTGTGTTTGTGGTATATACAATGGATACCCATCTCGATATATGAAATGTGATGTAACAATTGTAACTAATCGTATCCCTGCTATATTAAGAATTCAACACAAAAATAACTTTTTAAACACAAGAGAAATATATTACAACACTTGTATTATTACCAAACAATTGTGTCTACTGCTATTCTTACATAATAATTTTGTTTGTGTTCATGGTATATGTTTCTATGTTTGTGGTATATACAACGGTAACCTATCTCGATATATGAAATGTGATGTAACAATTGTAACTAATCGTATCCCTGCGATACTTTGCAGCCAGTATGTAAGATATTTCTTAAAGCGTAGTACTTGTTCTTTATTAGAATCATTTCATACAAGAATAATGTTGTTGACCTTAAATAGATTACACTTTCTGTATCAGATAAGGAATTATCTTGTTATATACTTTACCGTACTTTTCTACATCACAATAATTGTAACTTTAACTACATATTTAAAATTACACATAATACTCATATACACTAACTCGCATCACTATACATACCATACATACAACTACTCAAGTCGTTCTCACATTCATAATACACTGCTACACTCCTATTTCGTATTAATAAGTTTATTATGTGAAAGTTATTTGGTTTTTGTTAGATTTCTTGTGTTACTTTCCTTATATTATACGTGCTATATTCATTTAACTGTAACCTCAAATTCTCAAATCTTTTATCACGGTTATTTATTGTTTGACAATACAACCTTATATAATAATGGTTAACACGCTTCAAACAAGTACAGATATAGACAATTTTCAAATTGCCCAGGCATTAACGTGTAACCCGGACGAATGTTATTCCCATATTATTCAAACTAATCATCTCAATATCTTGACACAAAATATAAGGAGTATTTATAAAAATTTTGACACTTTTCAAGTAACACTAAAATCATTGAAAATAGAATTTGATATACTCGTTATGACAGAGTGTCATTTATCAAATGATAAACCCATACCTACTTTTAATAGCAATTATAACTCGTATATTACCAAAAATATTTTAAATCGCTGTGACGGAGTAATCATGTATGTAAATAAGAATCTTAATTGTAACGTATCGGAACATTGTATAAAAAATTCTTCTTGTCTAGTGCTAACGATTCCGGACACGGTGATAATAGGTATATATCGTACACCTTCTATAAGAAATACGGATGACTTTATTTCTTCACTTCAAACTCTACTTCAGCGATTTGATAATTTCAAGAACATTATTCTAACTGGCGATATCAATATAGACATTAAACATGATAGTATAGACCCTAGCTGCCCTAATTATTTAAATACACTCGCGTTTCACGGAATTTTACCAGCTCATAGGATACCTACTCGCGACAAAATGTGTTATGATCATATGATGCTCAAAACTACTAAAACTGCAAAGTCAATTGTACTTAATAACGCTCCTACTGATCATTCAACGGTTCTTTTAAATCTAGCATACAAGCATAACCGAGTTTTATTTAAAACTAAAGTTATTACTGATTACGTTTCAGCTTTTAACGACTTAAAAAATAACCTTGTGGATATATTGACTATTGAGGATCCGACAACCGCTACCGAAGCGTTGATAAATAGAATAACAGTAGCATTTAATAGTAACAAAAAAATAATTACAATACCTAACAGAAAACGTCACTTACAGCCTTGGATTACGCCTGGTGTTTTACGGTGCCTTAGGAATCGTGATAAACTCCATTTAAAACTTAAAAGGAATCCTGATAATCAGATATTAAAAATAACTTACAATCGGTATAGAAATTTTTGTCATAAACTTGTAAGAAAACTAAAAACTAGCTATGAAAAAAATAAACTAGATAGCGCTCAAAATTCTAAAACACTTTGGAAAGCTATTAAATCAGTATGTAATATTAGTAAAAATAGAACTGAACATACACACAAACTTATCAATCTTTCGACGTCCCCTGTACAATCTGCTAACCTTGTCAATGAACATTTTTCTAATATGGGTAGGAATCTGGCTGAAAAACTTAAAGACTCACCCCCCTCTTCATCTTACCGTAATTTGTCAGAAACATTTACCCATATAAACTCATTTGTTCTCCTCGATACCGACCCTACTGAAGTAGATACGATTATAAATAGTCTTTCAAGTGACTCTGCTCCTGGGTGGGACAATATTCCTACTTCATTTATTAAAATGGCTAGGCACACTCTTGTACCAATATTGTGTCACATTTATAATCTTTGCTTCACAAACGGTTGCTTTCCTAAACCTTTTAAACAGGCTATTGTAACACCAATTTATAAGGGTGGGGATGGGAACGATGTCGATAACTACAGGCCAATTTCTGTAATTTCCGTACTAGCTAAAATTTTTGAAAAACTCATTAACAATCGCTTAAAACATTATCTCACTAATAACAATCTGTTGTCTTCAAACCAATATGGCTTTAGAAATAGCATTTCCACTGAAGACGCAGTTCTAGCATTAACGAATGAAATTAGCAATCAATTGGATTCTGGTAACAAATGCGCTGGAGTGTTCCTTGACTTGGCTAAAGCTTTCGACAGCGTGTCCATTCCCATCCTTCTTAAAAAGTTGTATAATTTTGGTATAAGAGGATTGCCCCACGCATTACTCTCGGATTACTTAACCGACCGTCAGCAACTACTAAAGTTGAATGAGTATATTAGCCAACCCTCAAGTGTCAGTTATGGTGTGCCACAGGGAAGCGTATTAGGACCTACCCTGTTCCTAATTTATGTTAACGATCTCTGTAATTACAAAGTTCAAAACTGTAAAATTTACACGTATGCTGATGATACAGCCCTCATCTTTAATGCAAAATCTTGGGACGAGCTACATTCTATAGCTGAGTCGGGAATTCATCGAATTTATTGCTGGTTAAAGACTAATCTTTTAACATTAAATATAAATAAAACAAAATATGTAACGTTTTCAATCCGCAAACCTACACAACCTGACTCCCACTTTAATCTGAAAGTTCATAACTGTAATTATCCTGATATAAACACTTGCTTCTGTAATGACTTATCGAAAACAGATAAGGTTAAATACCTTGGAGTAATTATTGACCAGCATCTTACCTGGAGACCTCATATTGAGAGCATCGTTGACAAGATAAGAAAAATTACTTGGGTTTTCAAAAAACTTAGGCACGTTGCGAGTGAGGCTACTCTTGTTACCACCTACAAAGCACTAGCCCAATCTATATTGAGCTACTGTATCCCTGTTTGGGGAGGTGCGGCTAAAACTCATTTAATAATTTTAGAAAGAGCGCAGAGGTCTCTCATAAAAGTAATGTTTTTCAAACCGTACCTTTTTCCAACTTTTGATTTACACAATCAGTACAAATTACTGACTACTCGTCAAATATATATATTAAATTGTATACTTAAAATTCATCATCATTTACCTTTTGTTCCCTCTCAAATCCAAAACCGTAGGCGTAAATCCGTTTGTCCTATTCCAATTAGTGAAACCAAATTTAAGAAAATACAATACAATTATCAATCGTCCTATCTTTATAATAAACTAAACAGAAGACTTAACATCTACAGACTCACAAAATCGAATGTGAAACGTGTTCTAACGGAGACATTGCTCACCTGTAACTATGCTGAAACTGAAAAATTCATAATTAAATTTAACTTTTCACAATTATAATAAGATTAATATGATGGTAAACGCACACACGCACGCACACACACACGCACGCACACACACAGACACGCATACATACACACATACATACACACACACAAGCACACACACACACGCACACACACACACACACTTTTTTTTTTTCTACTTACTTTACAATGTAAACCATGCTTTATATGGATAGTACTATAAATGTCTATTACAAGTCATTGTTGACGTTCTACTTTGTCTTGGTGGATGAGCGGGGCACCCAGTAACACGGGTTTTGTACCTAGTACAGGGGCCCTCGCAACTTGTTGTTTCATTTGTAACCTTTTAGTTAATAAAGTTTATTTTTTATTTTTTTATTTTTTATTTATTTATTATAAATTGTTGATAGTTAAAGCTTAAGTCTGTTTCATTAAAGTATATTGTCATATATATATTTAGTACATGACATGTTATTTTCCCTGCAAATATTGCACTTCTGTTAAGCGAGCGTTAGATCGGAAACCGCAAGGCGTCGCTACAAGTGGCATTTAATTAAAAATATGTCAGGAACGGTGAGGGTTGGTGGAGGGACGCCCTCTGGGTACTGAGACTCCGTGGAAATACTCCTGGTATATGGTACATCTTGTACGGATAAGGTATCCACACACTGACGACCTGACACCCTACTAACAAGATATACACATAATAGGAGAAGCTCAAGAACAAAGTCTGGCATCGTGTTATAGCTTTAGTCTCATATAATCAGCTTTACTTATCAAAGTTTGTTGATTTTATTTCATATTTCAAAAGATATTTTAACAAATATATGATTTTATGTGTTTTAGAGACGTTATAGTAAATGTTTGTTAGATGAATGTTGATAATAAATAACAATGTGTGAGGTGAGAGTGGTCTGTCCTGTACGGAGGGTGTTCTTATGAAGTGAATGTTGTAATTGATCAATAAAAATATAGTAGAGGGCGGCGATTGAATTAAAAACCTGTTACGATTTGTAGGAGCGTGTTACGATGTCGTTTTATTGGCATTTGATAAACCCACAGCCCTCAACAACCCTCGCCCGCTCCTTACAATCTGACTACAGACTGTTTTTAAATGATTATTTATCTTAGTGTGTTTCTTAAATAGTTGCGGCAAAAACCTTCAATTTCTTAATTATTTTAAGGGATACTTTATTACTAATATATACATTGAACTTGGTGACGTATCTTACATGCAATAATCAGGTAGTAACAGGAGACTCAATCTTCAGTGTATAGATATCGTGTATCAGTAGTCGCACAATAGTTTGATACGTACAAACAGACGGATGGCGGTCGTCTCGACGGAGTACCGTGTCCGTGATGCAGGGCGGCACTCGCTCCACGAGCACCGAGCGAGCCGCCCGCCACCAGCACGGTGACTTGGACACGGACACATTAACGACGCGTTACTTGTGACTGACGTACTGAGACCTGCACGCTCAGTACACCGCGCCCGTAACACGCGATAACAGACTGTAACAACATACAAACAAGACTGATAGTTGATTACAACGGAATAGTTTATCGAACGATTTGAGGAGGTGTTCGGAAAGTAAATATTTAGAGAAGCTATTGAACGGAGTTGAAGACACACACGGACACAGACAGACACACACACAGGTAAGAGGATCTTATATATTAGTTTAGTATACGACTCTTATTACTACTTAAATTAACATCCAGAGAGGATAATATTTTATAAGAGTTATTTCTTATAAAATATTATCCTCTCTGGATGTTTTTATGTTTGAGATGTTTATCTTTAAACAGACGAAAGATTTATATATTCGTACCTAAATATATATGAAGTAGAAAATATGAAAATGATTTGATTGAACTTTCACCAAAGTCATTGACTTTTGTGATGAATGTCTGTCTAGGACAGAAAAATTAGAGAAAGTCTAAAGATCTTTCTGAACAGCTATACATTAACTAATTCTCTATGTAATGTTAATTTTCATCTCGTTATCTGTATGTAGCCGGGTCTCTTTGTCAAGCACCTCCCGTTCGTGGTGTGTTCGGGAAAAACTGTAGTTGTTAGGGAGTGATAATTAGTATTCAGGACGTGTTCCAATCACGCGGTATTGTGGTTAGATAATTAAGTTATGTGCTGGATGCGAGGCGCGTGTGGACCTCTAGCTGTTGGACCTCCTCGCGATACACTTCAATAGAAGTCATTTAGACCCTAACATATATAACTATACTACATATACATATAGTATTGCTCTGTCTATATTTTATACATAAGGAATAATAATATATCTCTCAATCGAAGTATAATGATGCATCAATATAATTTATCCGTCAATAATATTTAATATTTATGTAATACTAATATCAGTTTAATTTCAACGCATCCCATCTATCGTGGACAATTAAATCAATCAATAATTTTATCAAAATATTTGATTTAATTTTTGATATATATTTATATATAATGAGTATTTATATTTATATTAAAACTAAAATTAATGTTTATTTAGAGATTTACACCTGTTATGAAAGATGGTAAGCACTGTCTTCAGTGAACTCGTTTGATGCAAAATTAATTTATATTTAAATAATATGAGGGAGTTATTGAATCATTTTATTATTAATTTATATGGTAAATAATAATTACAATATATTGTTTTTTTTTTTATATAATATAGGGGGCAACCGAGCAGGCTAGCAATCCGATGGCAGAAATGTTTCCATCGAACAATAATATATATGACGTCCATTTGATATTATTGAAATATAACATTACACAAACGATTCAAATACATCTGCGGAAAAATTGCAAATACGACAATTTTAGTGTGCGGTCCTGGTAATGAAAAATAGTTCTTATAATTATACAATATAGAGTTGTATTTACTTTCCATATGTTTTGGTATAAATCAGCATCTGTCGACGCAGATGCCGCCGTCACTCATAAGTTTATGTTGCAACGATGATTTGCAAATAATAAGTATTGTACTCTTCGCCCCCAAAAATACTATATATAAAGGGAAAATGAGATGAGTTTAACGCTTAAATCTGACATATTTATAATTATTACCGTATTTTAACTATAACTTTCACCAATACAATGGAAATTCACCAATTAATAATCGGAATGCACCCCAAACATTCTCTCGTCCAAAACTCATATAAACCCCTGAACCTGTATTTAAATGTCAAGAAACGGCTGTAAACTAAATTTAAAAACAATGTCATAGGACATTGGATCCTGCGTGCACGTAATACGGTATAGATCGGTTTGAATATTTTTCGGCATGTGCATCTCCGAAATGATTCCAACTTATTATAATATAAATCGAAATTGTGCGCGAGTGACGCGCGTCCTGTCAATTAAAACGGGGTGTCGTCATCCATCACGGGGGATTCCGGGGGACACTATTATTATTAGCGGCCGCCGATAACCGGATTAATCCGGTTTTTGTTCGGCAATTTTCGCTCCGGCCAACGGGTATTGTTGAACAAAAACCCATTTGTACTCACTGTTGGATGAAACACTCCGAGTTTATGATACAACTACGAAATGTGACTGAATACTGTTTGTTATAAACATAATTAGCAGACGAATGTTCTTTTATAATTGACGTTTAATTAAAATAATGTATGATTGATTTGGCCCATACAAGAATCTTTATATAAGTAGCTTAGTTGCATTCTGTTAAAAGCTTTTGAAAATACCTACAAAGAAAGGACAAAACAATAACAAATCGTTGCAACGTTTTAAGTATGTTGAATAACTTTAAAGTTTTCAAACCCACGTACTAGTGAGCATCAAGACGTACATAGGTAGTATGTAGAACTCCCCAAATACAAGGTGAGTCATTCTTTTCATTTCCCGTTTGGAGTGAGGGCGCGGAGATGAAAACAAATTAGACATCACAATCACAGAACATCGTTTATTTACTGCTCGCTGTTTGAATTGTGTTAGTGGGCGACTTCCCCGCAATCAGAAACCAATCACACTTATAATGTTGATCGAGAAATCATATTTATTATACAAAATCCAATAAACTGTACATCAGACTTCGTTGCTTAGAATTTTATCACCAAAAAGTATAGACTTCCCCCTAATGTACCCGAGCATACAATTAACTACATAGGCTATAAGTACGATGCATACAATTATAAATTTGCTTTCCCGTGATCAAGATCTTATATATTTTTATACTCATATAACATTTGAATTGTACATTTATATTGAATATTTTTTTTATTAATCAACTTATAATTATTTCAGATGACATATATTGTGTCACGTGTATATTCTATAAGCTGAATACTTGACCTGTTTTTGTTCTCGCATTATATCGCGAGGTGATAGAGAAATAACATGAAATGGCGAATTTGAAATTCTCTTTCGCTGTAAAATAACAATAGCATTTGTATGACGCTGCGATGGAAAATATAAAATATATTTTTCACGTTTGATTGTTTGAAAATGTTTATTTTTATTCAACAAGAATTGAAGTATTTTTAATAAGAACATTGCTTTTCAATTACTACGATACATTTAACATTATTTTTTAATCATATTAGTTTTTATAATTAAGAATGAAGTGACGTGTACTTGATACCAATACTTTAAGAGTTTGTTAAAAGAGTTTGTAAAACATATTTTTATTGGTATGAATCAGAACTAAGGTCAAGTTAACGCTTAAACGTATTATTTGAACTCGTTTATATTTATGGTCTGATAATGGAAACGCTAAAAAACAATTTTCATTTATAACAATGTTGTTCTACTAATAATGACTCATTAAAAATTATACCATGTTTCTTTTTATGTTCGTTTTACTAACATGTAGAACAATTAAAACCAATTAAGATATATAAGTATACATAATAATTGAAAGAAATATGAAATGTAGACAAATTGCAATCTAAGCTTAGTGTTGAAAGAACTAAGCAAAGTCAGACGATAATCCGAGGCTAGAACCGAGAGTAGATGAGAACCGTCTGAAAGAAGAAACTGAAACCGTTTATAAATGGAGCGAATTAAATGTAATATTGAGGAGTTTAAGGACGGACAGGGACTGTGACTCTCACGGAGCGGGGATTACACTCTGCGGTGTATTAGATTTGAACATATTCTTACTATACATATGTAGATAACTTGACATATTTACGTAAAGTATATATACTGTTTGATTTCTCTTTTACAATATTGTAATATAAAGTGCAGTTAGTAGCGGCCGACACTCACTCGGGGCGGGAGTAGTCGTATTGTCGATGCGACTATTTTAGGATAATAATAATATTATGAGATTCACCTTGATCTTTACTTCGCCACGTATTGCATACGCTCACTAACAATAACAAACCACGGATTAACTATATCGAGTGTTTGGACAAAAAATAGTTTAATGAAACGGTTTTATAGAACCGTAAACAATATGGATGTTTACAGAAACACGAGCCGGAACACACACTATGCCATACTACGACTTTCACTGACGATATACTGAGAACAGAGATTTTAAGAATTAGTATTAATATATGACTGGCACTGTTGAAGCATTAAAGCCAGAAGTAACGATTGGTCTAAATTATATTTGAGAACAATGTAATTATTGATCAGAACAATATTTTTTAAAAGTCATATTGCTCGAAACTCATATAACATGTATCATCGAGATATTTTACGAGATGCTGGGTCATAATTATGCGAAAATAAATGAAGCTGAATGTTTAAACATGAGAATACTTTTGTATCATGTGTCCCTGAACAGTGCCATGGAGTTAATATATAGTTAGCGATATGGAACCACTCATACAACTAATAAACAAACATGAAAAATTAAATAAATTGTTAGAAGTCGACAAATAAAACTATTTTAACTCAATTTTATAGCTTTAATTAGAATATACTGCATATATTTTTATTTCTTATTTGTATATTCTCTAGTACAGAACAAGATCCTCCCAGTCTTCACAAGTTTTCACAAGTTTTATCGCCACTCTATTCCCGTCGCCTCTCTGTAATGAGATAACGACTAATAACTTCTTTAAAGACGGACTTTAATTCGATATAATATTTTTATATCTCAGTATTATTTCTTGTTTATCTCAAAACTCAATCACTCAATATATAAAGCCACTGAGACCTAATATTTCAATACTTAAAGTTACATTAAAAAGTATATTTGTAATCATATATTAAAGTAACTATCAAAATGGTCATCTTTACCCAAGTAATAGTTGATACTCTGACGGAACTTTCGAAGAGAATGTTGAAATCATTCTGAATTTATTGTTTTGTCAATACATTGATAACATCTTTAGGGATTTTCATCTCATCTTTACGACTCCCAAAGGTTGTGTACAAGTAACTATCGAAGAACATTCGGACAAGAATGAACTCAATATAAGAAATGCAGGGTGGACAGTGAATATAGAGAGGTTCACTGTTATAT